ACAATAATAATAATAATAATAATAATACACACGTTGCCTCTCAGTCTGGGCAAAATATCTGGTAAAGTACTTACTATGAACATTAAAAAATGTGTTTGTCAGCACTAGATGCTATGTAGTCAGTGATGCAGGCTGGAGAACAACACAGTACTGCCACTCCTAAAGCTTTCAAAGAACGTCTTTATGACCAGAAGCACACTCTATAGTATTTTATCATAATTACAAAAAACCCCACAACAGTAAAACACAGCTGACAAAATGGTCAAGCACTACTGTAGATCCAACCCTCTCTTTAGCACAGCTTACAGGAACTGTAACTACTACTTTGCAACGACTCTTACAACAAGTTTTTTCCTCCCTCTCCTCCCACCCAGCTCTTCATGCTACCATCTTCTCACATTTCTTCACACAGCCACAGGCAGCAAGGCAGTATGGGCTAAGGTCTCCAAAATTATTGCAACCACGATCAATTTAAGAATGTTGACAGGAGTTCAGCTCCTGCCAAAAGAGAGTCTGGCCAAGAGGAATCCAAGAAATTTACAAGGCTGGCTGAAGACTGGTTTCACCATCATCAGCAATGAGTAACATTCTTTGAGAAGAGCAGCATTATTAGTCCTTTATCTCAAACCTGCAAGCCCAAGTCTGGATATGATATGCATAATCAATCAGTGAAGTCATCAGTCAATACAAATACTATGTCACCGGTGAACAGAAATACTATCTTCTTTCTCCGAAAAGGCACAGACAGGTCTTCTGCAACTTCACATATGGAAGGAAAAATCCCCATTGACAAAAACCACATGTTCAGGACAGCAGGCTACTTCTGCATGGGCTGGATGATTGTTGCTCTCTCAGTGAAGGAACGAATGTATGAGGTTATAGCACTTTAAGTGGGGGCTCCTGGCAACCTGCTAAACCCTCTCCTACAGCAGGTGACAGGTCTCTATCAAAGGATTAACATTATTGTGATTACGTTCAATGAGAGGAATACGCACCCTTCTAAGACACAGCATGAGCTGACATGCACATACATGGAAACGCAGACGCTAGCAAAGAACATGCACTACACCTCTAGACTGAAAAGCCATTATTTATGACCATGCTTGATGGAGTTCAACGGTTTGCATGACAGGGCGAGGAGGATACCTAAAAGTTTGGACCTTGCGATGAAGAGGCAAAAAAGCACCACTCCCCTGTCAATAGCAGGATACAGAAGAATAAAGGGTAGTAACTAGTCTGTTCTTCATGTTCAAAGTTAGTCTAAAGCAGGAAATGGCCCATATGAAACCTTGCACTTATTTCCACTTACTTCCCCCTTCCAAAAAAAAAGGGATCTTGCAGACATGTGTCCACATCTGGACACACAGATGGACCTCATCTACAACATGAACTAGACAGATAAGTAGAATGTGCATACCACATAAAATGCAGTATTCAGAAATGCATACTGCAAAATGCTTTAACATTTCAGTATATGAAGTTGTGGCCCTAAACATAAGAACTAAACAAATAACTGGTTTTACACATTTATGTTTCTCAAGTAACAGTGCGAAAAGTTGTCAGATGACTTCCTGAAAGATCTTAAAAAAGCTTTTAACACTCAGACTAAGCAACTGCTATCCAGAGCCAAATAAACTATTTCCATTCAGGAAAGATCAGCCACACAGATTCTATACTGTAACAAATTCAATTTGGCCCAAATAGAACAAAACATGTTCGCTATTCTTGGCTCACAGAACAAGAAATATTAACATCCACTTTCAGTATTCACAAATTAACACTAATACCTACAGACCCAATACCAAAGATTGTCAGACCTCTTTCGCAGCAACTTTAAAAGGGAAAACAACATCCAAATTTTCAACCACTGATACTGATTTTTCTAAAAAAGGAGGGTGCTTCAGGCAAAAAGCACAATATTATTCTGAGATTTTTAAGTTAAAAAATAACAAATAGAAAGACGAACTCACTGATTTTATTTACAAACTCACAAATTAATCTCTGTAAAGAACAGAAAAATACAGTAGTTGAGTTGAATTACAAAAGTAAGATCCCATCTTCTTTTATTGACTACCTGGACTCCAACAGGTCCAATAACCTTCTCTAGAAAATCTAGTACTTTCCACAAAGGCAAACTTTACAAAACCTTTTAAGCCTATTATTATAAAATTACTAACTACATTTGGCTTTATACAGACACAACATGTATGTACCATTTGCATATTTAAGGAAGTTGAACAATTTCTCAAAACAATGCTTGATTAACTTTCCTGCCTCCTTTTCAGCAGACATAAGCTCTTATTTTCAGTGCTTTAGGGCAGAGTGCATTCAAGTGGCAAGACACAGGTCTCTAATGTGTAATTTGTTATGTAAAGTAAACAAGCCTACATTCTATTAAATCACATGTGCACCAAATACTGAAGTAATGGGGTTTTCTGCTAATATTTATGTTTACACACGATTTTTAATGCACTATCATACAGACTGAAGGAGCTGCAGTGCAATTCTTTAAGGCTGAACCTAACAACTGAAAGCAGCTGCGTCTGAACCACAGATTATCCATAATACTTAAAACCCTTAAAACCTACCCAGACACACAAACATGAACACAGATTCCCCTCAAAACAGTAAGATGATACTCTACAGATATCCATGGATCATAGCTCCTGCATAACCACATGAAAATTTTAATGCATCTGAGTGAAGGGAAAACTTCTGACAGGCACTGGGGAAGCAACGTCTTAAATTAGATCTGCCTCTGAAAGAACAACAGTCTGAGCTACCATAGAGCTAATCTGTCTTTCCTGAGCTTTGTCAACCGCCTTGTTACTTGTGTGAAGGAGTAAGAAGAGACTACAGGAGCTCTGCTTTCTGTCAGCAATGGATGGAACAGAGACTAGCAGCCTCATGCTCAACTCAAGTAAATCGTAACTCCCCCCTTCATCCCAACCTGAAAACTACTGTGGAGGACACAGCACTGAGATTCAGCTCATGTGTTATTTTACACTAGTCTTGACTGTCAGGTGCAAAACTGTTGAGATTCAGTGGCAACAACCTGTTTAACATGCACCAAGTAGAGCCTTGCTTCTTTATGTAAATGCAAATGGTACAACTATGCTTGCTTTCAGATCACGGGGAATTTTGTATTCAACTGGTTCAGACAGTAGAAATAACAATTTGGCACCTACTGCAACTAAATTAGAAGCTGTTGATTGCCCTGAGGATACAAAGCTCCTATGGTGTTTAATCCTATTTGGATCCCAAGATTTACTCAGTTTGTATCACATGGAAATGTGAACAGGATGAGTGTTGAACTTAAACTTATGGTCAGACCCAGTATTCATGGTACAAACAAAGGCTGTTGTTACCTGCACTCTTTTGCTCTTATTCTCTGATCCAAAAGATGTCCAAGACCCTATCTTAATGCAAGAAGGATCTTCTCTGGATGTTCTAATTATCTGCTATGAAACTCAGTTTTTGGAATTGTAGTAATAATACAGCTTAAACCTCTGTGGTAACCATAATCTCTTAATAGTCTAAAATTGTGACAGCCATTAAATAGAAAAGAATGTGTACAACTTCCCATTCCCATGGGCAGGGTAAGCTTTTGTCCGAACAGGCTGAACTCTGCCTGGAATGTGAAACAATAAATTCAACACCATTTTCCTATGATATTTTGATACGCTACAAATCATCATTAAAAACTAGGGCTAATAGTTTTCTAGAAGGGTGTGATGAGGCACAGTATCCATTCTGATATTCTCTCTGACACCATGTAGTAGATATATTCAGCTTTATCAAAATCAAGAAGTGAGATGAAGACTCAGAGTAAAATGGCAGGTTAATTGATAAGGGGTTAACACATTTTAAAAAGTGTAAACTGTTTTAATAAGGAATTTGAAACATTTTATTGTATAAACAGTCTTTCCCACTAAGTACAATTTCAAGCTCTGTCTAGCTTTCTTAATTAAACAAATCCTTACCAAGGTAGCAACAAACCAATGGCTGCTTTTATTTCATGTAAACTAATCTACACACAACACAGACCAGCCTTTAAAGATCGGAATTGCTTTTCAGAAAGAGGAGGGACTGATGAAGTACACGTTTTCAGAATTTCCTTGCACCTTTTGCAAGAAACATTCAATGTCCTGTGACAGCATGCGTAACAGACCAGTGAACACTCCTTTTGAATACTCCTTTCTCACTGAACCCCAGAATGGCAAATTCAGAATTGGGAAGTAGTTATTTTGAAAAGCACCTCTCTCTCATCTAACTGTAGCCATAAGCAAACACCTAGCATGGAAAGGATTTGTCTGACGTTAATTAACAAGAAGCAAGGGAGGACAATTTTTCCATTATAACTATCCTCAAGAAAGTAGCAGCTCGTTGTTCTGCCATACTTCAATTGCACAGTTACACCTATACGCACGCACTTGTTCTCTCTCACACATGTACAATACATGAAAAGTATTGATTTAAGTGCTTCAGATGAGACTTTTCTACACTGAGGCTAAACAGCAACTCTACAATAAAGAACAAGATGTATATATTCAAGTATCTTCTAATCATTTCCCCACTGCACTCAGTATATATTTTCTTAATATTGAAACACTTTTCTAGTACTGTCCAGCTCTCAGCTTCCCTGAAAGTCAGGAGATTTTAACTCGTGAATACAAGGCTCCATACACCTGTATGCATCTTCCAAGCAGAAAAGACAACAGCAAAAGAAAGTCAGGTACACTAATAACATCACAACGGAAGCAAAACTAGAGAGAAGATAAAATAAAAATTGTCATAATTTTAAAACAAAGTTTTTAGTGAGTTTAAAGTTCTTATAAAGAACAGTAACACAGAACTGCTCAGGATCAGAAAATCAAAACAGCTAACTCACCTTCCAGGAGGAATTCCTCTCTTTGTAAGATCTATTCGTACTTTCTCTCCCACATGTCTATAAACCTCTACAATGGCTAGTATGGCAGCATCTCTCACCTGTGAACACAGAGTATAAATTGTTAATTTCAGGGTTACAGAAACCAAAACAGTATTTGCTGACAACCCACTAATCTTCCAGTTTCTATCGACCTGCATGCCAACTCATTTCACAAAACAGTTGAAACAGTAAGGATGGAAGGGAAAGGAAATACAACTGTTATTTCAAGATGGTATTTGTTCCAAGTTACAGCATCTCCAGATGGTAAATGAAAAATCCTAGACATAACAGCTCTAGAGGGAATTTCTGGGATTGACATAAGAATAATATTTGTGGAAAAAATGTGCTTTATTTAGGACTATCACAGTATGCAATACTTCCAAAAGTTAGTCCCTGCACTCAGTCTTGACACTTCATCTTGCTTTCATCTGTTTCTACATGCAGTGAGGCCCTTCTGGAAAACAAAGGACCCGATTGCCCACAAGAGTGGGCCAAAGTGATCAGCGTTTTCTTTACTTCCTTCCACAGGAATTACGTGGCAACACATAAGCACAAGAAAGGGAGTAAGACAAGATAGGGGAAGGGGAAAGAACAGTTAAAGCAAGGAGACAGAGTGCCTCTTTAAAAAATTTAAACCATAGTCATCACAATAAAAACTGCCAAAAATGCATGTTAGTCAATGCCATTATTCTCTATAAAGAATTACTGGAATGACTTTAGTATTGTTCTTTGTAACAGTTCGAACTAAACTCACAATTGCTCTATCAAGATATGAACTACATCTTTACTAATGATCAACAAACAAGACAAATTCTTAACAGATTTTCTCTAGAATAGAACAATGCTATGCTATACAGAGGAGAAAAGGACTTTGCTGCACCCAGAAAATAAGCATAAAGACCTATCCTGTTTATTTGCCCATCTCCTACCAATGCTACCTTCTTCCTTACTGTATTCTTAGTCTTTTCTCTCAGACACAACTTCAGATAAATCAAGAGAGATCTTACCCATTTCCATTTGAAGGTTTTCCAAAGTTCAGATGTCACCATTATGAACTACTGTTTTTTTCACTGCAGTTTTTGCTTAATTAACTGATTTTAACTAGAGTCCTTGCATGTGCTCAAATGCCATTTGGGTTTCATTTAGGAAATTATTACCTGTCCTGCACATGATAATGTTACCTTTAGCAAATTTGGCAGACTATTACAGGTGTCATGTAGGGGCTCCTGCTGGAGGCAATTCTTCCTGTCAGTATAGTTTGGTTTGTTTTTTTTTTTTTCTTTCAACATGCTCTATAAGAAACAACTATTTTCAGTAATGACTAGTTTAAAGCTCTGAAGACAAAACTAAAACAGCCAATATATCGCAACACTGCTGCCTTTGCAACTCTGCTTTCATCTTCCAATGTATGGACTGGTTCAGAAGAAAATGGGTTTATTGTTTCTCATGGTAGAAAATAACAATCTGTTGTATACAAGCAAGCCTATTGGCTTTTCTTAAATGCCTACATTTATTTTGCTTTCACTCCTCTGTCAAAGTATAGTTGTTGAAGCACCAGTAAGTAATGAAATCCTTACCTGACTATTCGAGTCACCAAACGCTGTACACAGATGTGGTACCAACTTGCTGAGGATTAATGGTTGTGCACCATAACTTCAAAAAAAAAAGTTAAATGTTGTTTTTTTTTTTTTAACAGAAAAACAGCAAATACTTTATGCAGAAGTGAACTTTTAGTTTAGCATTGATAAAATACAAACTTACATCAATCAAGCTCCGTCTCTCTTACTAGTCCTTTGTCTACTTTTAAGAAAGACGAAAATACTGTACCTTTAGTCTTTCTTTCAGAAAGCTCACAAGTTAAGTTCCTTGATTTTCCCCATTTATTGACTTAATTGAATCAGACTTCCTAAAGTATTAGTTTCAGAGAAAAATGACATTCAGAAGAAGGATAGAACAGTTACGTCTCCATAGAAACAAAAAGCTTACATGTTTAAGGTAGCAATAAGACACAAACACACTCCTTCTCGGGATCGGTAATTCTTGTGTTTAAAACCAACAGCAAGGCGTTCCCAAATGTACTATAAAAACAGAAATAATTGTCTTTGATTACCAGGAGCACAATACAATGTAATTCTATCCATATTTCATAATTACATTCGTAACAGTTGCAAAAAAATTACAGAATACAGGTCCACTGGAAAAGTAAAGGCATTTCTCAGATAAAATTAAGTTATAAAATGCACAGTATGGACCACATTACAGATTATTCCTATGCCAAAAACAATTTCTAAAAAACATCCTTCAGAAATCTAGCTGAGTATTTTTATTGTTTGAGAAACAGCTCTTAAAAACATGCAGAATTGTTACAGTTAACACACACGAAACAAACATTAACATTACAAACTACTGACTCAAGCAGAAGTTGCTATATTCTTTTTGCTTCATATTTTGTCTCCCTGCCAAAATTTCCTCTCATCCATTTTAGCTCGTCCTTATCCATACTCCTGCTGTCCACTTCTCCCCTACTTTTGCTTTAAATGTATTTCTTCATTTTTCAATTATTTCTTGCCCATTCATTCTAATTCCTTTGCTTCCATTTTTGTTCTGCTTTCATTTCTCCTTTTGTGCTGGTGCTGCTTCCTGTAGTGCAATTCTCTGGCTCACTAAACCCTCATTTACCTTCTTGCGCACTCGTTTTTCACTGCCTGCCTTTAGTCTTTCCCTCCTCCGTTTATCTTTTTACCTTTCCATCTCCTTGTCGTTTCTCTAGCTGTATCTTACGGTGTAAAAAGCGTAAACATGAAGCTTACGAGACTTGGGATTCTCAGTGGTATTTCGGAGCAGATGCACAGACTCAGACTGCAACTCCCACAGCTGCAGCGCTGCCATTACAGCCCCAGCCAGCATCCGCGGGCAGCGTTGCCTAGAGATGGCTGCACACTGGCAATGGCACATTTCGCAGCCTGGGCACCACCCTCACTCCTACCCCTGAAGTGGTGCAATTGCAACGTATAATGATTCCATGCAAATCCGCTAAAATGTATTAGATAGAAATTATTGCAATCGTATTCGGCTTTCCAAAAAAAAAAAAAAAAATCAAACCAAACCAAAACAAAACCCAGAAAACTCACAAACAGCTATTGATCAACAAAGACAGCGTGAGAGCAAGGAATACTGCATCCTCTTTATTAATGAGGTAGCACACTTCTTAGCAGATGTAAAATTTTCCAATTAGAGCCTTGCTTGATCATTTTGTAACATCTGTGGTTTCTTGTTTGTTTGTTTGTTTTATACTTCATTACATTTAGAGAAAACAAGCCTTAGACAAGCAGGATATGGCCTGCCAAAACTGCACAGCTTAACAACAAAGAACAGGATTTTACAGAAGAAAACATCCTTCCAATTAACCCACTGTCCCAGACAAACATGGAAAAAAGGAAATCTCCTTGCTAGGTGTACAAAAATACAGGTACAAAAATAACCGTAGAGTACTGAAACAAAGCAGACTGAAGAGAAATTCAGTCTTTCAGTAAATTAACCGTACTTTAAGAACTGAATTCTTCTAAACAGAGAAATTCAAATGGCTGCTTAGAAATTTCAACTCTCATGACTTGCTAGCAACAGTTGGTGTCAACCTCCCTTTGTCCCATTCATGCACTTACACCACCTATATTCTTATTTTTATGCCTTCCTGCCCATAACCTGCTACATCTAGTTCTCCCTCATAAAAAACAAAGAAAAAAAATCTGAACACATTTGAAACAAGAAAAGGGAATTGACAACAGGACAAACTGAATATTATTCAACAACACACTAGAACAGACAAGATGAGTTCATCAGGAAAAAACTTACAGGTCTTATCCCTAAAAAAGGATCCCACCCAGCTCTTCCAAAGGAGTGTTTCTCTGTAGCAAAGGGAGGCTAAAACTCTGTATTTCAGTGTTGGAGGCACAGGAAAGACTTCTCTGTTCTGGTCCCTGCTGTGAGGGTGATTGATGATTTTCATCCAAATTTTTAATGATACATAAGCTGTCCTGGGAGCAGACACCTGAAGCCAGGTTTCTCCCACCCTAGGGGAGCTACCAGAAGAGCCATATCGTCTCTTACTTATACACGCTGTTCCTTGGACCTCATGAACCTGGTATGCTTTCCTACACTGCAGGCAACTTTCAAAGGGTATGGAAGCTTCCTTCCATCACCTCAGTGTACAAACTAACAACTCTTCAGAAACTGAAAGATGGACCAGTAATCTAAAACTCTTTCATGATGAGGGCCTAGCATGAAGCAACTATCACCACGCTATTTCTCAGCAATTGTTCAAATGTATGTGTCACCAAGATGCTCTGCTGTACGTTCATCCAAATGCTAATACTGTAGAAGTAGATGTACTTTCAGGTCTGCACGCCAGGTACTTCAGAGCATCTTGGCACAGGAACATGTCACTCATGAACTACTTGCACTTAGGCACAAAAAAATGCTGCAATGTCTCTTGTCAATGAATACTAGAAGGAACAAAACTAGATCTTGTGAAAAGGTAAAGGCATGTCTTTGTAGATGACTTCTAGAATTTGATGCCTAAATCCCACTCAGATCTGTGACCAAATCACATGAGAAAATACCTCATGTTTGAAGGGAGATAAGTGTTTCTATAGTTGCCTAACATGCTACCTGTTTTTCCTATCAGGCAAACAAAGCAACCGAGAACAATTTTCTCGCTGCAGATGAAGTCTGCAAAATCTTACTCCCTGCACACAAACATTCAAACATGTATCTATGAATAAACAAAGCCAGAAATTAGCACATGAAAGAACCTCATTTTCATTCACAAAAAAATAAGACGTTCCCTATTAACTTCTGCACTCAAAACTCAGAAACAGATTTTCTTCAGAAATTAAAAACTTGAGTAACAACCAGGGTCTCCAGAGTTCCAAATAACATCACTGCTCCAACAATATAATCCTATTACACAATCCTACATTTTTCAGACTCACACAGTAGAAATACAAGATTTGGCATTTGGAAGCCATGTAGTGCTAAGAACTGTAAAAAGGTTTGTTTAACTCAAACTTCAACCTAATACAAGGCAGAAGGAAACTTATCCCCATCTCAGTTTGTCAAAGGTTCACACAGTATTTTTGTCATACATCTAGAAAGCCAGATTTTCTAAGTTAGAATGCACCATCTCTACGTGGGACTACTCCTACGTGTTCAAGTACAAAGCTAATTTTAAAATAAATTCAGAGCTGAATAAACTTATTTATTCTCATTACGCAAACTCAAACCCAGGAGGTTGCTTCAAACATGTTTTAATTCACAAAGTCCTGCCACATGACATGAAAACATCTACTCAGAATTTAACTCTGATATGCAAAACTGCAGAATTGCACTGTGCCAGATTTTTATCTTTAGCTGAACAATGCCTCAGTGTCAATCCATTAAGAATATCTTTAACATTTACACCACTAACAGTCGCCGTAACATTGTGACATATTCAAAGTCAAGCTCATGCATAAGTCAAAAGCTCACTGGAGGCCTACATCTGAATCTACATTAAGTAATCATACCATGGGCGGTGCTGCTTCGTCCATCAATTTCAATATAAGATTCTGTGCTTGTTCTCGAACTTGGTCTTTGGCATCTCCCATACGATCTATCAAAGGCAGGAGAACTAGAGGAGAGGAAAAAAAAAAGAAAAAAGATTAAACATACAATGAAGATTTTTTTAATACTTGAGGATATTTTGTGAAACAGATTTAAAATATATCTCATTCAAAAATAAAATCTGATTTTAAGTTGATCAAAACATTTCAAAGTCTCAAACATATTTGAGTATGTTACAAGACTAACAATAAATGCATTGGACTGAAATTGAAGAAAGTAGTATTTTCCGACAGGCTAAAAGGAAAGCTTCCTGTCTTAAAAACTGCATGAATGACTTCAATTTAATCTGCAAAACGTATGCTAGTAGCTTCTGAATGCCTGGCTTTTCTGAAAAATAATGCTAGGACTTGGAGCGTGAGAAAGAATTAGGATAGGAAAAAGGACTATTTTCAAATAAGTGGGATTTTGCTGTTAATTACAAAAAAATTAAAGGTTTTAAATCCTGCTATTCACACAGTGTATCTTCTGGAAACTCGGTCTTACTTCAGTAAAAATATCAGTAAAAGTTACTAATTTAAAACAAGTGTCCTCAAATAATATTTAACTAAAGTTGCATGATAGCTGATGATTTCACATCCTAAAAATCAGAACTCACTCCAAATGAAAGGACTCGCCAATTCTTTTCATTTGCTTACCCAGAGGGAAGTTTCTAACTACATCTGGTAAACAAATTAATTTTAAAATATTTAGGAAAGTTATCTGAATGAATGCTTAGATCAGCATTGTGTAAGACATCCTGCTATACTGGTTCCCAGTCCTCCATCTGGGGCCTACACACACGCTTTGGGAGATTCTTCCCCCCCGTGCTTTCAGTACCAGTTTTTCAAAACGAGGGGCGACGACACCAAGTGCGCCGTCTTCCCTCGGGGAGTACAACTGACATGGAATTGGTGGAGATGCTGTCTCCCACGGGACAGTGCTTTTAAAGTTAGTATAAGAACATGAAACACCACCTAGAAAAAGCAGTGTCACATGCTAACAATAACATTTACCTGTCAACAGCTCAACTTTCTGCATTAACTTCTGTTTCTGATCTGATCCACAGCTGTCTTAAGAGCTGCAAGTATCAGTCACCTAATCTAGGTGGAACTTACTCAACACAGACCACAGTACCCACCCAGCCCATCCTTCTGCTCCTGCACTCTAGTTAAGCTGGAGCTGAGTTTGCAATTACCATGCCATTTATTCCAAACTTCTAAAACTAGCATAATGTTTACCTTGAGTCTTTTGCAGACTTTCTCATATTCCAACAAAAAAAGATACATTAACAGCTAAAACCACCTTTTGCTGCATTTGGTGTTACATCTCTGAACACCTGAGAGTATTTTACAGTTGCTGCCTGATCTCTCTCAGCTGCTGACTGCTATAAAATTAATTTTCCTATTCTACTCACAGAAGAAATAACTGTATCGCCCTATTTTTTGAAAGAGAGATCTGAAAGAATTTTAACAGTACTTAATGATTTTATAGTAATAACTAAACAGCAGCATTGTCATCAAAAGAAAGGGATCAGAATCAGCAACTCGGGAGGTCTCCTCAGTCCTCTGTTCCTACATTAAAAACAGCAGCCGTTTCTGTACCATGGTTATTACTGGACAAATACACTGCTGAAGTTTGAATTTCCCCTCCTACTGTATCTGAACACTTTCTAATTGTCCTAATCTGAATATTTAATTCTACTGGCTCTGGATATTCCACTAACATCTTTAGCTACCATTATCAAGTTTTCGCATGTTTCATCTATCTTCTTTTCCCTCCCTCCTCTGAATAAATTATTACACCTACCTTCATTTTACAGTTTAAGAGAAGGGTTTGGGGTTTTTTGTTTTGTTTTGGGTTTTTTGTTGTTGTTTTGTTGGTGTGGGGTGGTTTTTTTTGTTTTGGATTGTTTTTTGTTGTTGTTTGGTGGGGTTTTTTTCTATTTTGTGATCACAGAAGAAACATCCAGAACTTGAGAAGTAAATTTTGAGAGTACAGAGCTGACCTCTCCCCTAAATTTCCAATCACTCGTATACTTACTGATTAATTATTCTTCCCAACAGTATTTTTCATTACTATTTTCAGCACTTCTAAACTGTCCTTTTACCCATACCATATGTTACTGGTGAGATCTGCTACATTAACCTGACTGTTGGGCAGCTGAAGGCAACTCTTGCTTTACGGAGAGGGAAACAAACACAGCCACTCAGAAGCTGTTCCAGCGAGGGAAACACAGCGAGGGTCAGTCCCACGGGAACACAGCTCCTTTGTGACTAATTAGCACGCTGAGTCAGCTGACGGAGCCGCAGATACCAGGGCTCCGCTCAAATCACTAAGGCAAGCACAGAGAACAGCTACCAGAAGCCTAAACAGAGGTGAGGTCATCGAGTTAAACTAAGCTATGACACAGCCTGCAGATTTCAGTGCGCGTTGCTACTGAACATGCCAGCCTTTGTCACTCATGGAGCTCCGACAGAGGGACAACCTACTGTGGGAGCTGTTAAAGGGCCCAAATGTCTGCTGGCTTGACTTTTTTCCCCCCTAAATCTCAAGTTTCTGTAAGACCCATATAAGGCATGATATATTCTGTTCGCATAAAACAAATGAAATTAGGCTGTTGAATGCTGGCAACCACCAGCTGGTTTTCAGTTTGGTAGTTCATTTTTTCTGTCAGAATAAGCTCCAATAGGAAATTATTTGAAGTTGGTTGCCTATTGCTGAAGTTTCAGAATGCTCAACCAGAAGGGTGTCTCCACCAAACATATTTCAATTTGAATTCCTAATGCCTTCAACACTTTTTCTCCAAATGTTAGACACGTCTAGGGAGAGCTATAGTGAAAAACAGCTGAATTGTTTCAGCTGTCCTTTCTATGAATGAGTAGGCAACACATCTCCCTACCTAAAAATTCTGACATTTGAGACACTCAGGTCCACCCCAGCATCTTGCTGATCA